AGAGAGTTGGACACGGCAACTAAGTACACAGCACAACACTCTGTAACAACTTGTTCCATATCTCGCCATCTCTCTCTGCTGCTGCTGCTGCTCAGACGTGTCCAACTCTTTTCGACCCCATGGGTAGCCCACTAGGCTCCTCTGTCCATGGGATTACCCAGGCAAGAATACTGGAGTGGGTTGCCATTTCCTCCCAGAGGGGATCTTCCTGACCCAGTGATCGAACCCCGGTCTCCCACATTGCAGGCAGATTCTTTACTGTCTGAGCCGCCAGGGAAGTCCTCTTTACCACTAGCACCACAATTTGGTTTTGGTTTTATTCTTTCTCACCCCACTTGACTGTCAGCTCTGCAGAGGCAGGAATTTTTGCCTCTTTTGTCTAATACTGTCTCCTCAGCATCAGAAGCAGGACTGGACAGGGACCTCCCTAGTGGTCCAGTGGTTGGGAATCTACCTCCCATTGCAGGGGGTGCAGGTTCAATCCCCAGTCAGGGAAATAAGGTCCCACATACCTTGGGGTGTGGCCAAAAAAAAACCAGGAATGGACACACTGGAGGCATTCAATAAATGTTTACTGAATGGACAATGCTTATTACATATCAGACATTATGCTGTGTTCTTTAATAATTAACAGCTAATGGGAATAACCAATATTTAAGGAGACCTGGGGCAAATTTTTCCCGAAGTTCCTTAGTATTTACTCATGTTAATTCACAATTGTCCTGTGCCTGGCCTGTGTCAAATTCTCAGGGGTTAGCTGTCTGAGCTGTGGCCCTAGGGGAGTGAGAAGGTGGGAGTGGCCAGGGGAATGCAGTGAGCAGAACTTGAACTCAGTGTGGTCACCACTCAGAAGCCAAGTTCTTTGTTTAAATCTTTATTTGTCTGCACCTGGTCTTGTCACATGTGGGATCTAGTTCCCTGACCAGGGATGGAACCCAGGCCCCCTCAATTGGGAGTTCAGAGTCTTAGCGACTGGACTACCAGGAAGTCCCGGGAAACCAAGTTCTTAATGCCATGTTCTTTTGCCTCCCCAGTGCCCTACCTTGCCCAGTGTTCACAACACCTCTATGAAGTCTGTATCTTCAGTAGCCCTGTTTTCAAAGGTGGCCACTGAGACTCAGAGAAGCGAAGTCACTTGCCCAAGAACACACAAAGCAGCAGAGTGACAGAGCTGGGACTCAAACGCAGGCTGCTCAGTCCTAGGGCCTGATGTTCCACTGCTGGTATCGAGTGAGCAGGTTGTGACCAAACAGCATGGGAGTGAGCCTGCTTTTTCTTTTTGGCTGTATTGCATGGCTTGTGGGATTTTAGTTCTGACCAGGTATTGAATCCACATCCTTGGCAGTGAGAGTAGTGCCCAAACCACTGGACCAGCAGGGAATTCCCGGAGTGAGCCTTCTCAAGTTGGGTGGGGGCCAGGGTGGAGTTGTGGGTCTCAGGGGCTTGCCTGGGGATTTGGTTCCTGGAGCTTAGCCAAGAGAACAGACCTAAAAGACCGTGGACTCACCTCAGAGGTTTCTTTGGAGTGGGCTGAGAAAGTTTTTCATGTTAGGATACGGTAGCTGACACACAGCACTTGTGTCAGGCTCTGTTGTGTGCTTCTGTATCTCTGTACCTGAAAATCCTCACAACTGTAGAAGTACACTTTTTGTGCTTATTCTACAGTTGAAAAAATTGAGGCACAGAGAAGTCAAGTCATTTGCTCGAGATCACACAGCTACGAAGTGGTTGAGTTGAGATTCAAACCTGGAAGCAGGAGCAATGATAAAGGAGAGATAGGAGCCACCAAACATGGAACTAGATCTTCACACCCACCTGCACGTGTCTGGTGGAATCAACATATGGAAGAACAGAAGAGAAGAAGCTATTTCCATGTATGAGAGGGAAAAAAAAAGGTGGGGGGGGGAGCAGAGCGTACAGTACGTACCACTTGTGTAAAAAAAGAAAAATGTCTTCATGCAATATCGCAGAAGGCAAAGCACAGGAGAAAGTGGGAAAATTTTCCTGGCAGTGGACTCAAAAGGGATGGGAGGGAGAATTTTTAACTCTATATGCCCTTACAAATTCAGTACTGTGATTACATAGCCAAAACCCGAAACTGAAAATTTAGAAATTATGTTTATGCTTATATAAGCAGATTGTCTCTAGGAGGCTGCACAAAAATATTTTTAAAAGAGGAAAAAAAATCTGTAATGCCATGGCTTGTCTACAGTGGTCCTGAAGAAGGAGGGGACTTGACTATTCACCACAGGCTGAATATGAATTTTTGTTTTCTACTGTCTGAATCATGGAAAAATGAAGCACTCTGGGTGTGATGGATAAAGATACTGTGCTTAGTCGCTCAGTCGTGTCCAACTCTTTGAGACCCCATGTGGTGGGTGCAAAACAGAGGCAGCTCCCCTCACGCTGTTGTGGAAGGAGCAAACTCCGAAATGTGGTCAGATAGGCATCATGGGAAAATAAATTTGTTAAAGCGAAGCTAAGGGAGTGAGGGGAGAAGCCAGCTTGCAGACAAACCAAACATCTGACACACACGTGCAACCAGGTCCAGTGTGGGCAAAGGCTGTGCATTAGAGGGACAGGCCTCCGTTTACTAGGGTCCTTGTCATTTTCCTGAAGAGTGACACTGTCCCATCCACCATCACAGGAAGGTTATTTCTCCAAGTTACCAGGATTGTGTGTGACACACCGAAGCTTTGTGCACATTTGTGCCCACGGCCCTTGGATAAGAACCCCATACAGACCAGCTATGTTAATGAGGGAGGCTGGGGCAGGGGGATGGCAGCTCTGGGGGTCTGTGACCCCAGTTGTGGCCAGGGCCAATTCTGCAGTAAATATCATTTCTCATCCTAGAAGTGGTGATAAGGTCCCTTTTGACTCTTAATACTCCAGGGGTCACCTCCCAATGAAGATGGCCTCTCTGGGCTCAAAGCAGCTACTCCTCTAAGAGCCCCATGGCTTAGGTTTGGGTGAAAAGCCCTCTCTAAGATCTGTGCTGTCCAATAGTCACTGCTAACCACCACTGGTGGGTGCTGAGCACTTAAATGTGCCTGTAGCTACTAAGCAACTTGTGTTCTGTTGAATCTTAAATTTGTTTTAAAATGAACATTTCCATTGCTGGAGAAGGTTCTCTGGGACAGCACTGCCCTTAGATTGCTTCCAATGGTTAAACTGTTTCAGTGGGAAGGGAAAGCCCTCCAAGGTTGATGTTAAATATGGTTATTTAAGTTTCTACATCGATATTTTGTAGCAAAATAGCAATGCAGTTTTTGCCCTGTGTAATTACTTACCTTGTAATAAAACCAGTTCCTTAAAAAAAGTTACAAAAAAAAAAAAAAGTTACAAAGTAAAAGCAGTTTCAGTGCCCTGCAAATGAAGGGAGGGCAGGAAATAGGTCCTAACCAGGGTGGGATGGCCCTGGCCTGGAATCCTAATCTGGTTTGGCCAGGGCCTGCCTGACACCAGTTTGTTCCATCAAGAAAGCAGGGGTGCGGGGGGAGATTAAGAGAGTAGGGCACACACTTCTCCTTGGCCCCAGCAACCAGATCTTGCAAGACTGGGAGGGGATCTGTTTAACTTTGGCCCCAACCTTCACCAAAAAACAAGCTCTGAATCCACTGGGCTCTTCCGATGCCCAGAGCCAGTACGGCAGGTTTCTCTTGTTCACCCCACATTTAGCTCAGGAGGGCAACTTCTCTCTCCCTTGCAGAGGACTCCTACCTCCTGCCTGCCCATCCCCCCTCCCACCCACCCTGGCTGCCTTTGGAGGGCTGCCCCGACACCACCCCATCCCATCAGCAGAACCCTCAAACAGAGTCGCAGGACCGCTCCCCTGAGGTTTAGCATCAGTCTTTAATGCTGTCACGCTGCACATTGACAAGTCACACACTTTGGTCTTGTGTTGGCAGTGGCAACTTACAATGAGTCTAAAAGTCTGAGCACCAGACTGACCTTGCAAGGAACAAACACTTGTTCCAACCACCCCCCCCCCACCCCCCACTCCCACCAGGTTCTTTCTCAGTTCCATCATGGCCCTATACAGAGAACAGCAGCTGCTGCGGACCGGTTTCATCTGACTGAACACCAACTTTACACAGAATTATAAAAACATATTTACAGACGTTCCACAGTGCTCCTGTAATCAGAAGCAAAGACCCTTTTATCAAAAGGGATTATAGCTAGGGTTGTGCAAAATTCAAAAGGATCAGATCCTTTTGAGAGAGTCCAGAGTCCATTGAACAAAAAAAAATGACCCGGGTCATGGGGAAATCCCAGGTGTACCAAAAGATTGCCTCACAGCAAAGGAAGGTGAAGATCTCTGCCTGGGAGCCTGGGGCCAAGATTCCAGCCAAGGCCCCCGACTCTTGAGGGCGAGGCAGCTGCACGTTACACTCAGTGAAGGCCGGCTCCCTTGGTCCTGCTGGAACAAGGGAGGTATTGCTTGTGGGAGCTGGCCAGGCAGTTCAGCAACGAGTTGAGATTCTCAATTTGAGATGGCAAAAGAAAAGAGCGGGTTTCTTAGGGAAAGGAAAGATGGGGGAGACAAATACAGAATAAAACATGAACTGATCACACATTACAAACTGAGGAGTGTACAGGGTCTGGTAACCATGAAGGCAGGTCCACACCACAGGACGTCTGCAAGCGGAGGGACTACAACAGGGGGATCAAGTCCAGCTGTGGGTCTGCAGTCTGCCTCTCCCCCTGGGCAGGGTTTGGAGAGGGAGGAGGAGGGTGCTGCCCACCCAGGAGGGCTGCAAGGACCCAGTGGGGCAGACTGCACTGCCTTCGCCTGCTGTCCCCACCACCTGCCACCCTACCGCTCGAAAAACAACTTTAGTCTAGTGCACGACTTTGAAAGATTGTAATATATTCTCTGGAAAACATTCAGCAGTATGAAAGCCCTCCCGCCCTCTCACGGGTCCACAGCTGGTGGAACGGTCCGGAAATCCTTGAGCTCTGGAAAGGTCCCTGGTCAGTCCTTGGGGAACACAGGTTGACTATATCGGAAGAACCTGCTCAAGAACGGTTCTTGACGTCTGGGGAATCCTTTCGGGGAAGATCACTTCAAACTCAATAATGAGGTCCCCACGTTTCTCGGGCGTTTTGGGGAGAGGGAGGCCTTCTCCGGGAACTTTTCGCCGCATACCAGGCCTGATGACATCTTTGAACACAACGGGTATGGTCCTGCCGTCCAGAGTGGGGACATTCACTGTACAGCCACACAGAGCCTTGGAAAGCAAAGGGACAGCATTAGAAAGAGTAGCTTAGAAGCTCACATCCTGCCCAGAGGCTGCTCACTGGGGTAAGCGCCATCAGGCCTCTGCAGCTAAGACCCTGCCTTAAGATCTACCCAGGTCACCAGCACAGACGCTCTGGAAAAACAGAGCCCTGGGTGGTCTTGTCGCCATTGCACTGTCCAAGCTTGGCCCACACCAAGTGCCCAGAAACATCTGTCAAGCAAACAGTGAACGGCATCACAAAGCAGCCTTCTCCCTCCCCAGACGCTGCCTTGCCTAGTGTCTTACCTCCCGAAGGCTGATCCTGGCTGGATAAATGACATCAGAGCCATCTCTCTTAAAGATATTGTGTGGCTTGTCCTTTAAAACAAAGACAATATCGGCTGGAATGTTGTTGGAAGTCTGGTCTCCTTCCTTGGGGAAGGTGATTTTGGTCCCTTCTTTCCACCCCCGCTTCACTTCGATGGTCAAGATTTTGTCTTCGTTGCGAATGCTCTTTCCGTCGGGGTTCAGACGCTTATGAGAGATTTTCATCTTCTTGGTACAGCCGCTGTAGATCTCTTCGAGTGAGACCCTAAGATCATGGGTGACGGGGGGATCTTGTTTCTTTCGGGTGGGCTCTTGGGCAGGGCGGGAGCGGCCAAAGTTCATGTTGGTGAAGCCACCCATGCCCATGGGGAAGCCAGAGAACGGGTCATCGATGTCCATGCCTTCCTCCCCGTTGCGCTGCCCAAAAAAGGTGTCAAAGGGATTTCGGCCACCGAAGATCTCAGCAAACATGGCATGAGGGTCTCCATGGAATGTGTAGCTGAAGGAGGTACCGTTAGTACCGCCGCTACTCCCGCCGCTGGGGCCACTGCCCTTCAGGCCTGAAAAGCCAAAGCAGAAGAAATCAAATGAGTGGCTAGGAACTTAACTCTCCAGGAGCTTTCCTTCAAGGAAAAAAGCTTAGGAGCCATTGGGGGAGGCATGTTTTTTAGCCTGTCAGGGAAGAACAAGGAAGAACTCTGAGCTTTTACCTCCCACTTGCAGCAGCAGAAACGGAACCCCCACCCACTTATGGCAGGTAGTTCACTGTGGCAAGACAGTAGTGAAGGGTTCATGCTTTGAGATGGGCATCTCCTGGGGCCACCCAGGTCCTCACATCTGAGAAACCCATTCCTCTTGCACTATTATAATGACTACGAAAAACTCACTGAGAGCGAATGAAAAATGCTTAACGCTGGATCAGTTTTCACTAAATGCTTACTCTTAAATCCCCTACTGCTAGAGACGTGTGGGAGAGTAAAACCAACGTGAAACTGCAAATGCAGACTTTCAAATTCTCGCACCCTGGCACTAACTGCCCTCATTCTCATAAAATAAGCCGCTTCTTCCTGGGGACCAAGCCCAGGAACCTCCTGAGTCATCAATGGGCGACAGGACAAGAACGCTTCTTTCTTTTTCCCTTAAGAGGGCTGGCCCCACCTGCACCTTGACGGCCGACTAGGTAAGCACTTTACAAGGATTACCTCACTCCACCCTCGGAGATGCGCGGGAGGTCGCTCGGCGCTAATTGGCATCTCATTTGCAGGCTCACTACTCGCAGCCTGTGCCCAGGGCACAGCCAGAGGCCCTGCCCTGAACCCCCGAGTGGCAGAGCCTCCCACCTAGCCCAGGTGAGCCCAAGCCCGTACCGCCAGCAGCCAAGCTAAACCTACGAACCCTCTCCTTCCGCACCCGCACCCTCGGACCGATCGCGGACGTGGGTGGAGGCGAGCGCCCAGGGAGGGGCAGCCCCAGACATACTAGAAGCTTCTGAACTAGCATTGCGGCCAGGGCCCCTCCTCCCATCGGGCGGCCGCCAATCCGAGGCCGGAGGCCCTTGTGGCCAGAGGGCGGGGGCTGCTTCAACCCCTGGGCCCGGAGAGCCCCCCGGAGATGCTACAGCGAGGCCGCCCTGCCTCGGTTTCTCCGCCTGTCAAACGGCGAGGGCGCGCCCCCGGCTGCGCGCGCGCACGCACCTTCCTCCCCGTAGCGGTCGAAGATCTCGCGCTTGCGCGGGTCGCTGAGCACGTCGTAGGCCTCGGCGATCTCCTTGAACTTCTCCTCAGCGCCGGGCTCCTTGTTCTTGTCCGGGTGGTATCGCAGCGCCTGACGGCGGTAGGCCCTCTTGATCTCCTCGTCCGACGCACCTCGGGCCAGGCCCAGCGTCTGATAATAGTCCTTTCCCATTGCCCCCGCCTGCGGCCCGGCACCCAGCTGTCGCCGTCCCCCGGCTCCGCCACCGCCCCGTCCCGGACTCTATATACCCGTCCGGCGGAAGCTTCCAGAGCCCGCCAGCCCCCTCCAGAACCTTCCGCCCCGCCCCCCACGCGGCTTTGGCCAATCCCCGTCGCCCAGGCTGCGACGCGCGACATCCGGGGCGGGGTCGCGCCGCCAACGGCCGCCTGCGCGCGGCCACGCCCCCTCCCGCTCAGTCCTGGGCAACGCTTCTTAGCGGCGCGCGCCCCGGGCGGCGGAGTCACTGCCCACCCTCCGCGGGCACCAATAGTGACCATGTTTTATTGCTTCCTGCAACCAGGCTGGCCTTACGGCCCGCCTCCTGTCTGGGTCAATAGGTTACGACGCGCTGCTCCAGGAAGGGGCGGGTCTGGGGAAGACACCGCCCCTCCACTCAGTTCAGTTCAGCCGCTCATTCGTGTCCCACTCTCTGCGACCTCACTGCAGCGCGCCAGGCTTCCTTGTCCATCATCAGCTCCCGAAGCTTGCTCTGACTCTTGTCTCATCGAGTGGTTGATGCCATCCAGCCATCTCATTCTCTGTTGTCCCCGTCTTCTTCTTCCTTCAATCTTTCCCAGCATCAGGGTCTTTTCCAGTGGTCAGTTCTTCTCATCAGGTGGCCAAAGTATTGTAGCTTCAGCTTCAGCATCAGTCCTTCCGTTGAATATTCAGGACTGATTTTCTTTAGGATTGACTGATTTGATCTTGCAGTCCAAGGGACTCTCGAGTTTTCTTCAACACCACAGTTCAAAAGCATCAGTTCTTCCGCGCTCAACTTTCTTTATGGTCCAACTCTCACATCCATACATGACTACTGAAAAAACCATAGTTTTGACTAGATGGACCTTTGTCGGGAAAGTAATCTCTCTGCTTTTTAATGTGCTGTCTAGGTTGGTCATAGCTTTTCTTCCAAGGAACAAGCGTCGTTTAATTTCATGGCTGCAGTCACAATTTACAGTGATTTTTAGAGCCCAAGACAATAAAGTTTGTCACTGTTTCCATTGTTTCCCCATCTATTAGCCCCTTCACTAGCAGATGCAAATATGCCCGCCTCTATCTCACAGGGCCAGGAATGAGTTCCTGCCAGGTGTCTCCAGGCGATGGGAGTTGCCTAATTTTCCCCAGCCCCAGATACCCGCTTCCTTCTGGAAATAAAAAGTCACCCGCTGTGTTCTACCAGCTGTGTGTGCATGCTCAGTTATATCCAACTCTTTGCGAGGAGAATGCAGGTGGGAGCTCCAGTACTATCTGCGTCCTCAGTCATAAAGGACCCTGCAAAGCGAGGTGAGCACCGGGAGCCACAGTTCACCTCCCTGCAGAGGTCTTCTCAGTTCAGCCCTTCAAGCCTCTCACTTTACCATTTTCTCAAGAACACCTGCCACTGAAATCTGAAATTGTTCCTTGGTTTTCATGTTAAATGTCTCCCCTGCTCCTAGCCTGGAATCACCATAATGTCAGGGACTGGGTCCTGTCAGTGCTGAGTCTCCAGTGCCAGGAACTGTCTGGAACCAAGGCTTCATAAATATTCCTGGCTGTTTTAATTTTTTTTTCATATGCATGGTTAGTGTTTTATTCTTTGAAGAATGGTTCTGAAACATCACACTAAGTCAGGTTGAAAGGAAAAGTTTAAAATAGTTTTATAAGGATATAACATATATACTGACTATTCACTCTACAAAATCTTGATCATAGAGCTTATGACACACCTAGTTTGCAGTAGCACCCAGGTTTTCCTGATAGTCATTATTTCTCTCTTGTTTGCATAGACTTCTTATCATTGGCTGCCTTCTGCTTATGTTGCATGATCTCAGAGTCCCACTGCTTCCTCTGAGAGGTAGTCAGGCTGTCCTCTTTTCTTTTTCCCTTACTAATTTCCTGGGATTTCTTCATGTTTTTCTGGCAGGTAAGTTATTGTTGATTTCCACCTGCCTGACCTTTCAGGCCAGACCAGACTCAATTGCCCCTCTCCCTCCATGGACAAAAAAATCCTGGCTGTTTTTAATGCACCTGGTTCTTTACCCCTGCCCCACTACCTCCATGATGTGAGGGAGACATGGGCATGGAATACACCTCTCAGGGCCTTAGTATCATCTCTGGGCAACATGATCCCTTTTGGCTCCTATAGTCTGGGGTGTCTGTGATCAAGGACAGGGCTGACGTGGAAAGGAGGCTCAGAAAGAGGTGCCACCTGAGAAGGGAAGAGGGGAGTAGGTGGTGGTGGCCTACAGAGGGGAAAGGTTCTTGGAAGAACTGCTTGGGAAGTCTGGGTGGTGTGACACTGGTGCTGGAGCCAGATAGTCACATTTTATCCTTGGTTCCAGCACTTCCTGGCTGTGTGATCTTGGGCTTGTTACTGAGCCTTCCAGGGCCTTTAGCTTCCTCATCTGTACAATGGGGGTAGTAGTTGTACCAGCCTCATAGGGCTTCGAAGTTGACATTGAGTCAACATTTGTAAAGTGCCCGGGACGGACATAGCTTAGAGGAAGTTCTGTCAAAGGGGTGACTAACCCTCTGGTTGAATGGTGGGCTGCTGAGGAACCCCCTTCCTGGCAGGACCACAGCAAAACATTTCTGGTAACCACTGTCCTTGTGCAAACTGGAACTCTTGAGAAAGACGCCATGGCCGTCCGGCCATCCCTGGCCACTCCCTGACCCCAAGTAACCGTGTCAGTAAGGGATTCCCTGGTAGCTCAGTTGGTAAAGAATCTGCCTGCAGTGCAGGAAGAACTGGGTTCATTCCCTGAGCCAGGAAGATCACCTGGAGAAGGGAATGGCAACCCACTCCGGTACTCTTGCCTGGAAAATCCTACGGACAGAGGATCTTGGTGGGCTACAGTCCATGGGGTCAAAAAGAGTCAGACAGAACTTAGCGACTAAACCACCACCATCAAAGGACTCTGGATTAAGACACACACCAGCCAACCTGGGAGGATGAGTCTAGGCTGGATACCCAAGGGCACAGCACTGCAGGGGTCCTGAACCAATCATGGAGGACAGAGAGTTTGATTTTTTTTTTTTTAAATAAAGTTACATAAACAGATAGTGGGAGAGTCATCATGGGGAAAGAAACCCAGAGCTTGTGGATTTCTTCACACTTATAAATTTAAGGGTTACAGATGTGTGGACTTCCTTGGCAGTCCAGTGGTTAGGATTATGCTTCTAATGAAGGGGGAATGGGTTCTGTACCTGGTTGGGGAACTAAGATCCCACGTGCTGTGTGGCCAAAAATAAAATTAAAAAAAAAAAAAAAAAAAGGAGTTACAGATGTGGGGACTTTTCTGGTGGTCCAGTGGTTAAGGCTCCCTGCTTCCACTGCAGGGGGCTTGGGTTTGATCCATAGTTGGGGAGCTAAGATCCCACATGCCACTTATAAACCCACCCTGAAAAAAAAAGTTAATAGATGTGGAAGCCTCTAAAGGTCTTCACATAGTTCTGGTGGACCAAAAACATCAAGCAAGGGGTGTCCTTGTGTTTGGGGGAACCTTAGGACTGGGAAATCTCCCTTCCTTGAGTAAGCCCGGGTCATAATCTGGAAGTTTTAATTGTTTAACCACACGCCCCACCCCCACCCCCCCAAAAAAAGAGCCCAAACCCAACTTCTCTTATTATGTTCTTTGACCTGGACACATTCTCACTGTTTTTTTTTCTTTTTTTTTCAGCCAGGCTGAGTGGCTTGTGGAATCCTAGTTCCCCAACCAGGGATTGAGCCTACATCCTGGGCAATGAAAGTGCAGAGTCCTAGCCACTGGACTTTCAGGGAATTCCCTCACCAGGCACGTTGGACTGTTACTGGAAAAGTGACTTTCACAGAAACTTAGCAGAGGTTTGAGCTATCAACTCAGAGAAGAGGAGACGATGTGATGGGTAGTTGTATGTATAGACTTGGCTAGGCAGTAGTACCTAGTTATTCAATTAAACACTAATCTAAGTGCTGCTGTGAAGGTGTTTTGCAAATGTGGTTAGGTTAACATCTATAATCAGTTGGCTTTAAGTATAGCAGATGACCCTTGATTTTGTGGGTAGACCTCATTCAATCACTTGAAAGGCTTTAAAAGCAAACACTGAAAGACCTTAAAAGCAAATATGGAGGTCTGCCTAAGAAAGAAGCGTTAGTTCCTGGCCAAGACCTGCTGGTCTGCTCTACAGATTTCACACTTGCCTTGCCAGCCCTCACAACTGTGAGAGCCAATGCCTGAAACAAGTCTCCTCCTACACAGACACACTCACAAACACATATATCCTATTGCTTCTGTTTCACTAAGAACTAAGAATAAGAATATAAGAACTAAGCAGGTCAGTCTGGAGTCAGTCAGTCTTAGTTGAAAACCTGGACCTGCTGTTTCCTTATTTACTGCCCATGTGATGTTGCACAACTTGTTCTCAGTAATTGCTAAGTATGTTCTCCATAAAATGGGGATAAGAGTAGATCTTACCTCCCAGGGTTGCTATGTGAATTTGAGAGGGCCCAGGCAATAAACCTTATAATAACAGCTAACACCGACAAGGTCCTATTCTGTGTCAAATCGGTTCCAAACACTCAATGTGTATGAACTCATTTAATCCTGACAATAATCCTGTGAGGGGCTTCCCTGGTAGTCCAGTGGTTAAGAATCTGCTTGCCAGTGCAGGGAATATGGGTCCCATCCCTGGTCCGGGAAGATCCCACGTGCTGTGGGGCAACTAAGCCCGAGTGTGGTAACTACTGAAGCCCTTGTGCCTAAAGCCCATGCTTTGCAACAAGAGAAGCCATCACAATGAGAAGCCAAAGCCCTGCGGCTAGAGAAAGCCCGAGTGCAGCAATGAAGACCCAGCATAGCCAAAAAGAACTTCGCTAAAAAAAATAATCCTATGAGGTTGGCCTGTCATTACCTCTGTTTTACAGGTAGGGAAACCAAGGCTCTGAGAGGTTATATGACTTGCCTGAGGTCACCTAGTGAATAAAATGCTGAGGTGTAAACTGTTTAGCATATTGTTTATGGTAAGCACTCAGCTTGTGTAAGATGTGATTCAGATGATGATAAAGCCTTAAGTTTTTATTTTTTAAAAGCATCACCACTCTTTTCAACTCTTTTTCTCTTCATCAAAAAGAACTTCAAAAGCGCTACAGTCATATAAGCTAACAATCTTCCCTGGTGGAATACTCGTGTGAAATAAAAACCTATGTTCACATAAAAACCAGTGAGCGAATACTTATCAAGGCTTTATTTGTCATTACCAACAGCCATTAAAACCTGAAATGTCCTTCCCTGGGTGAAATGTAAACAAACTGTATACTATTCAGTCATAAAAAAGGATTGAGCTATTGATTCAGGAAACAATGCAGAGGAACTGCAAATGCATATGTAAAGAAGCCAGTTTCAAAAGTCTGTTCACTGTGTGATTTCATTTTAAGGTACTTCTAGGAAAGGTAAAAGTATTGATGCAGAAACTGGATCAGTGGTTGCCAGGGACTGGGATCTTTGACAAAGGGAGACAGGGGAATTTGGGGGGATGACAGAAATGTTCCATATCTTGACTGCGATGGTGGTTACATGACTGTATTTATTCAGAACTGTACAGCAGAAAAGGTGATTTTTATTGGATGTAAACTATATCTCAATAAAAAGAAAGAAAATACATCCTATGAATTAAAAGATTCAAAAGGCAGAAAGGTTGGGAAACCTCTCTCCAGGGCTCCTGACACAGTGGAAAGTTGCAAATCAACCCTGGCTTGTCTGCTGTAGGCTCTACCTTCCCTCACACAGCTCTGATCCAGTTTGATCACACACCCCAAAACAAGCCAAGCCAGGTTCCTGGAAGAATCAAGATCCTATCTTTTTTTTTTTTTTTTTAAGACCCTATCTTACTTGCACCTGGGAAAAAGAAAAAGAGCTTGTCTCGGTGCTCTGTGATGACCTAGAGGGCTGGGATGGGGGTTGCGGGGGGAAGCTCAAGAGGGAGGAGATATATGTATACTTTTAGCTGATTCACAATGTTGTACAGCAGAAACCAGCACAACATTGTAAAGCAATTACTCTGGAATTAAAAAAAAAAAAAGAACTTGTGAGACTGACATAACCAAACACGCCAGATCTTCCATGTCCAAACGATCACGGGTTCTCCTGACTCTGAGACCCAAGGAGGCTCTGCTCACCCTTCAACAGTGCCACAGCACAAGACCTTTCTGGAATTCCCCCTTTGGAAACTGCTTTAAGGGGCTTGTTACATTTGGCTCAGCAAATACCAAACGTATTTACTTGTCACCATTATGAATCAGGTTAGTGATTCACAGGTTAGTTTCCCCAGTGTCCTGGGAAAACTAGCTGTCCCTATCAACAGGTACAGACAGAGCCATGGTATAATGTCATGAATGGCTTGAACAAAGTGGCCAGCCTTTGTTCCGAGGATGAATTCTGTTTGTGCTGGCAGCCTGATTATTGGAAACCAGATGAGGCCAACAAGGGGTTCTCACACTTGTGTGTGTTCAGTCACTCAGTTGTGTCTGACTCTTTATGATGCCATGGACTGCAGCCCACCAGGCTCCTCTGTCCATGGGATTTCCCAGGTAAGAATACTGGAGCGGGTTGCCATTTCTTCCTCCGGGAATCTTCCTGACCCAAGGATTGAACCTGAGTCTCCTACATCTCCTGCACTGCAGTGACAGATTCTTTACCACTGAGCCACCTGGGAAATCCCCCTCTCCACCTGTAATACCCATCAAAACCAAAGAGGACTTCCCCTCTGCAGGCTGGATCATGCCTTTGTATCAGTTTCTTGTAGGTGAGGAGGCGGGTGGGAAGTTATTTGTATGCCCCAGCTGGCACAGAGCATATTACATTCACAAAATTATTTGGTGCCTGTTGAGTGAGTTCAGGGCTCAGGAAAGCATCCTCCAAAGGGAAATTCCAGAATGTCCCGAGCCTGTAGGAATGTGTGTGGAATCTCCAAAAATGACATCCCTTTGGACACCATATGCCTTACCTAGCTGGAACCCAGCCTAGGGAAGACATACCTACTCAGACCACACTGGAGAACCCGGAAATTGCTAGCAAAATGTGGCTAGATTTTAGGGGTTCAACCCTACCCCCTAGCATCTCAGAAGTAGATGCTTCAAGTAACTCAATCTGGTAGGATTTTAACTTGTGGCTTCTTTTTTTTTTTTTTAATTTTTATATTTATTTATTTGGCTGCACTGGGCTTTAGTTGCAGTATATAAGATCTAGTTCCCTGACCAGGGATTGGAACCCAGGTCCCCTGCACTGTGAGCACGGAGTCTTAGCCACTGGACCACCAGGGAAATCCCTAAACTTGTGGCTTCTGAGTGAGTAATCTCCTACCCTTCTCCATGAAGCCAGGAAACAAGGCATGTTGGTACACAAAGGATCTCATGATACTATGAGATCTGCAACTGCCAACAGGAAAAGATCTGTGCTTTGGAAAGTACAAGTATAAAACACTTTTTGGAACTCCCCTGGTGGTGCAGTGGGTAAGAATACACCTGCCAATGCAGGGGACACGGGTTTGATCCCTGGTCAGGGGAGATCCCACATGCTTCAGGGCAACTAAGTCCGTGCACCAAAACTAGTGAGCCTCTGTGCCACAACTACTGAAGCCCATGCACCTAGAGCCCATGCCCCACAACAAGAGAAGCCACTGCAGTGACAAGCCTGAGCACCACAACAAAGAGAAGCCCCCACTCACTGCAACTAGAGAGAGCCCGCACAAAGCAACGAAGACTCACGCAGCCTATCTGTTTTGCTCAGATAGGCCTGAGGAAAAAGGTAATTAATTTCTTTGGGGTCTTTTTTCAGTAACCAGGGACTGAACCTTGGGCCCCCTGCAGTGGAAGCAAAGTGTCTTAATCACTGCACCACCAGGGAAGTCCTGGAAAAGGTAATGACTTAGCTTCCTTTATTCTGAAAGAGGCGTCCCCAAATATTGTAGCTTCAGAAATTTCTAGAGCCTAACCTGGATGAGTAAGTGCTGAGCACTGACTCACCTTCTCCCCACCCTGCTCTCCTGTGAACCAACAATCTGTCTTTGAGGACTTCTCACCATGTCTCTGATGCCAGGCCTCTGAGTTCTGGAGCGCTCAACAGTTGAAGAAGGCTCAGGGGTGGGGTCTGGAACCAGGAGAAAGGAGATAAGGTAAGGGGGTGTGCCAAGTCTTGTTTTAAGTGTCTGTTTGAGTCTGTATGTGTATGTAGTGGCAATCAACCTCCCCCGCCTGCTCATAACAATCGGTGGAACAAAAGCATGACATGACCCCAAACCAGCACTGTCCAGTAGAGAGAGTGTGAGACACACAACTGCCAGGCCAGCCACATCCAAGCTGTGTCTGATTTTAAATGTTCCAATAGGCATATCAAAGAAGTAAAAAGAAACAGGAATTTAATTTTAATAATGTATTTTTACCCAATATATCCAAAATAATATTTCAGCATACCATTACATAACTAATAATATTATTGTTGATAATATCACCAATAATAATATTGTTGATAATATCAATATTATTGTTGATAATATCATCAATAATAATATTATTGATGATAATATCAATAATAATAGCACTAATCAACATAGAAGTTGATTAATGAAGTTCTTTTTTACATCTTCCTTTTCATACTAAGTCTTTGAAATCCCTTTGTGTTTCACTTTTACAGCACATCTCAATTTTGACCAGCCACATTTCAAGGACTCAGTAGCCACATGTGGCCAGCGGTGACCACACCGGGCAGTACAGGTAGAGACAAAAGTGGGCTCCCTGCCTGTGGGGTCTAGCAAGGTGAGGCGGGGGCGTGCATTAGAAAGGGGAGTAAAGACACAACCACAATAGTGAGCGAGCTCAGGTTACAAGTTGCGGGTGTGTGCCTGAGAGCTTTTCCCCACCTCTTTCCCCTTTACTTTCCTCCCATTCGTGACAGATAGGGGTTCCCTCGCCGGAGCAGCCTCTCCATCCAGGTGCCCCAGCCCATGCCCCCAACCCCTTGCCGTCTCCCGTAGCTCCCCGGTACTTCCTGGGGGCCGACCACCTCCGAATTCACCCAGTCGAGCTGCCGGCCATGTGGATGTTGCCTTCCCTGTCACTCAACTGCTAGCTCCCTGCTCGCGCCTTGCAATAACCGTCGCTTCCCTTGGTTTCCACAGAGACGCCACCAAGGGGCGGGGCAACGGGCTCGCGCGACCAGAGGCCCTCTTTGATTGGTGGATAGCCAAGCTCCTTCTTTTTCTTCCGTCCTCCTCCCTCTTGCCCGTGTTTCGTCCCTCTCGGTGGGTCCAGGAAGCTGATTGGCTAGCTCCATGGCGAGAGCTGCTAGTTCCTGCACAGACCAACTCTGCGGGGCGGGGACGAAGGTGGGCCCTTGCGCGCTGATTGGCTGGAGGGGCGCGAGCGGCAGGGAGGGGCGGGGCGGATACGGATCCGCGGTTAGTCTCGCGCGGCGGTCGTCACCGCGTGAGGTACTCTGTGGTGTATCGCGCGCAGGTAGCAGGAGCAGCAGAAGCAGTAGCCGCCGTGCGGGGGAGCCATGAAGCACTATGAGGTAAGGAACGAGAAAACGGGGATTGAGCGACTGCCGTAGATCCATTTTTCTTTTTCGTGAGACAGTCGGACCCCGTTTTACGTCCTGAGCCCCGAAGGGAGCTTACGGCGCAGGCGCAGTAAGCGCGCGTTGTGCCCAGGGCCACTCGTAAATCTCAGTGCGCAGGTGCGGGGTAGGTATTTATAATTCTGCAACCCCGGCTGTTTTGGGGGTGCCTTTTCTTGGGGTCTCTGCAGGACCTGGGAAGCTTGCAAGTTCCTCGCAGCTTCCCCTGCGGGATGAATTGTAGGCTTTGGCAGGGGAGGAACGAGGGTGTGGAACCCTTACTCTCACTGTCAGGGTGTCCTGCACAGACCTTGCACCATGCCTCCGCCTCGGGCTTAGAAAGGGGCTTTGCAGTCAGTCCTCTCTGGCATGACCTTTGGGCCCCTCCCTCGCCCGGGACGGCCCCCCGAGCGGCTTAGGTGGTGAAGGAGGTGTAGCTGCAGTGCTGGCTGATCTTTGCTTTCTGTTAATCTAAGAGATAATCTCCGTGAAGCCCTGCGTGTCACCGAGGAGAAATCTCACACCTGCAGCCACTTTTGAGGTCCAGGGCTTCTGACTCCTAACTGGGGCCTCTTTTACCCTTAAAACGAAGTGTTCTAATGAACTTATCAACCTAGCTGATAATATAATATTAATAATTATTGCTGGCTTATAAGTAGCATTAAATGATAAACTAATTTATTATTAAGGTTCATAATAATAATTTAGAGAGTGTTACGTTTGTGCCAGTGAGAGTCTGTTACCTTGTTTTCTTAGCCTCACAGTCTTGTAAGGTAGGAGACTATTATTACTGTTTTTGTAAATGAAGAAACAGTCTCAGAGATGTCAAATGACTTGCTCAAAAGTCCCCAGCTAGTTAGTAGTAAATGCAGGACAGAGAGAAATTCAGGACTCCAGAGTGTCAGTTGCTAACCACTTTGCCATACTGGTCCCCAAATGAAAATTAGCCAGTTGAGAGACTTTTTTTTCCCCTTCCCAAGTTTAAAAAAGTGTGTTAAAATACACATAAAATTTACCATCTTAATCATTTTTAAGGGTACAGTTCAGTGGCATTAAGTATGTTCACATTGTTGTGTCACTATAACCGCCATCTACATCCACCTCCAGAACTCTGTTCTTTTCATCTTGCATAACAGAAACTCTGTACCCATTAAACACTAACCCCCTTCTCTCCTCTGCCCAGCCCCTGGCTACTGTCATTCTACTTTCTGTCTGTTTGAATTTGATCATGTTAGGTGGTTCATATAAGTGTAAGGAGACAGTCTGATTTTTGTTTGCTAGTGAAATACCACTGCTTCTGCCCACTCCCTTTACTACTGCTACTGTTACTATTATTACTTTCTGTGGTAATTTACCCAGAATCTTTTGAAAACTTTAACCCAGAAGTCCTTAATGATTTTTGACGTGGCACAGAAATGAGGAGGTAGAAGTTAGTAATCTCTTATGCCTCATTCAGCTTTATGATTGTAGAATGAAATTCTTCTAATACAGTTAGTTCTTCTAATACAGTTTTACCTTTCAAAGCCTATCTGTAATCCTGGAGAAAAAGCCACATTCAGTTTGCAAGATGGAGGATGGGAGATACATGTGGCCTTTTACAAAATGGAGTTAGTTTTGGTAGTTGGCAGGCAGATAAGGTAGGCCCCTGAAGATCTTTGGGGTGGACACTTTTGTTCTGGAAGCTTGTCACAGCCTGAGGGTTATGGCTTGATCGGGAGGACACTCAAATCCCGTCCCTCCTGGAAGCAGAAGCTTCAAACCCACTGTTCAAAGTGACCTTGGAGGAAAAAAATAAAGTTGTTATATTTCCATGTTCTGTGTTATCATTCTCTGCTGACATTTGCCACGTAAGCACTGAGGTGGTAGCCCCAGGCTTTACTCTGTACAGGAGTAAACTATCAGGCTGATCAACTCTATTACAGGTATTTGTTGCAGATCAATAAAAATAGCAGAGATTCTTTCCTTCACATTTAACACCTTGAGAAAGACTGTATTTCTTTCTTTTTTTTTTTTAAACTTACCTACACACATGATTTTATTTTTTTTTTTTCATTTATTTTTATTAGTTGGAGGCTAATTACTTTACATCATTGCAGTGGTTTTTGTCATACACTGAAATGAATTAGCCATGGATTTACATGTATTCCCCATCCCGGTCCCCCCTCCCACCTCCCTCTCCACCCGATCCCTCTGGGTCTTCCCAGTGCACCAGGCCCAAGCACTTGTCTCATGCACCCAACCTGGGCTGGTGATCTGTTTCACCCTAGATAATATACATGTTTCGGTGCTGTTCTCTTGAAACATCCCACCCTCGCCTTCTCCCAGAGTCCACAAGTCTGTTCTATACATCGGAGTCTCTTTTTCTTTTTTGCATATAGGGTTATTGTTACCATCTTTCTAAATTCCATATATGTGTGTTAGTATACTGTAATGGTCTTTATCTTTCTGGCTTACTTCGCTCTGTATAATGGGCTCCAGTTTCATCCATCTCATTAGAACTGATTCAAATGAATTCTTTTTAATGGCTGAGTAATATTCCATGGTGTATATGTACCACAGCTTCCTCATCCATTCGTCTGCTGATGGGCATCTAGGTTGCTTCCATGTCCTGGCTATTATAAACAGTGCTGCAATGAACATTGGGGTGCACGTGTCTCTTTCAGATCTGGTTTCCTCGGTGTGTATGCCCAGAAGTGGGATTGCTGGGTCATATGGCAGTTCTATTTCCAGCTTTTTAAGAAATCTCCACACTGTTTTCCATAGTGGCAGTACTAATTTGCATTCCCACCAACAATGTAAGAGGGTTCCCTTTTCTCCACACCCTCTCCAGCATTTATTGCTTGTAGACTTTTGGATAGCAGCCATCCTGACTGGTGTGTAATGTTACCTCATTGTGGTTTTGATTTGTATTTCTCTGATAATGAGTGATGTTGAGCATCTTTTCATGTGTTTTTTAGCCATCTGTATGTCTTCCTTGGAGAAATGTCTGTTCAGTTCTTTGGCCCATTTTTTGATTGGGTCATTTATTTTTCTGGAGTTGAGCTGGAGGAGTTGCTTGTATATTTTTGAGATTAATCCTTTGTCTGTTGCTTCGTTTGCCATTATTTTCTCCCAATCTGAGGGCTGTCTTTTCACCTTGCTTATAGTTTCCTTTGTTGTGCAAAAGCTTTTAAGTTTCATTAGGTCCCATTTGTTTATTTTTGCTTTTATTTCTAAAATTCTGGGATGTGGGTCATAGAGGATCCTGCTGTGATTTATGTCGGAGAGTGTTTTGCCTATGTTCTCCTCTAGGAGTTTTATAGTTTCTGGTCTTACATTTAGATCTTTAATCCATTTTGAGTTTATTTTTGTGTATCGTGTTAGAAAGTGTTCTAGTTTCATTCTTTTACAGGTGGTTGACCAGTTTTCCCAGCAACACTTGTTAAACAGGTTGGAAAGACTGTATTTCTCTTTGGGACCAAGCCTGTTCTTCCACATCCTCCACCTGCCCCTCCCCCCACCCCCAAAGCAACCCCTAAAGCACTGGGTGATTAACACCCACCAGAAAGACCTTTTTGACTGGGAGAGAGACCTTGGAGATTATGAAGTGTAATTTACAAGAGAGAGAGATGATGCTCAGAAAGGTGCGGGACTCACTCAGTGACACAGTGAAGTGAGTGAGGGTTGATATCTGATGTTTGAGGCAGGTAGGATTCCAGCTGGAGGAGCGATTTTTGCTGCTGTTTCGATAACTGTTTGCTGACACTGCCATTCTCTCTTCTGTGGTCCCAGAGGAAAATGCGACTCTTCAGTGGCGTCATTGAGAGGAGGCAGGTAGAATGGGTTACTCTTGGGTCTTCTCCCAAGCAAGTCTTTGGAAGGCAGAGCAGGCCTTGGGATTGTCTTGGGGTCAGAGCAAGGTCATCAAGGGAACTGCTTATCCAAAGCAGGAAATTTTTTCTTTTTTTTAAATTTTGTTTTGCCATTGCAGATGAGAGGTCCAAGTAATGATCCCAGTGGCAGCTCAGCTCTTACCTTGGAATCTGCTGATTCCTGGGAAGATGGGTCTGTCTCAGCTTCCTTGCATCTGGGTCACTGCTCATTTCCCATTGCTAGAACCTCAGAGGCAAGGCAGCCTCTTTCTCCTGGGGTCCCTAATAGGATCTTCCATTTAGGGTCCCATTGAGGTCCCCATTTAGAATCTTCTGCTCTTCCCCGCCTCCCCTCAAAAGGGTAGCTTTGTTGGTGCTCATCTTGTGAATAATATAATTCTTGCTTTAGCTTCTCCACAGGAGTAAGTATGTGAAAGTTTGGGAAGTAGAGTTCTGCTGAAGAGGCAATTGTTTGAGCCAGAGAACTGGGTAGGAAGGGGGAAGTGAAGAAGAATGTGGACCCATGTATAATGGTGTCAGAGGGTGCTTGGGCCTTGGACGGGCCTGGCTCTGCCACTCACTAAATAACTAACCTAGGGCAGATTACTTAATCTCTCTGAGCTCCTCAGAGCAAAATAATTGTGACAGCAAAGGCCAGTAATAACATTAAGAAATTGCTGGAACTACATTATAAGGGGTATTTATGAAAGAGGAGGTGCTGCACGCAGCACTGGTTCATTTATTTTGACTGTTGTGCATGATTTCTTCACATGAAAAGCAATTTAGTTTGATTTACTTGGTCTTAATAAATCTCCAGGCATCATGTTGAGTAGAAAAAAGCAAATAGCAAAAGGTTTTGTAAATTTTAAAAAAACATACCAAATGAGATTTATATGTGTTTTTTTGTGGATAGATAGCTCATTAAAGGATAAATTGTAATATGAGGTTAGAAATGTATGGGAATTACACAATAAGAGGAACCATTGCTTGGGGAGGGATGGAAGGGGAGGAGAAGGCATAGGGAGGGCTTCAGCTATGTCTTTTTTTTTTTTTTTTTAAGGAATCTGTTGTAGTAAATAGAGTAAAATATAAATATTTGTTTAA